GGCTTGGAGCAGCCTGGGCTGGTGGGAGGTGTCCCTGCCCATGGGGGGGGGTTGGATCCAACTCTGACCATTCTATGATTCTATGAATTTAAACCAGGAACCTTTTCTGAGTTTAAGATTGTCACGCAGGTTAGAATGCTATATCATACCAGTGCCACCCTTGAGGGCAAACAGAGACAAATGGAGCTGACCCCTCCTGAGGTGGGTGGTGCACGTCCTGCCTCACTGCACCCCTGGGCAGGTTTGCCAGCAGCACCCATCACCTGGACATACAGAGGGTCTTTCTTCAGCACGTGCCATAAGATTGTATTAACCCCATGTCTTGAAATATTGCATCTACTAACAAATAGAACAGAACACAGATGAGCTAATTGAGAGTATATTGTCAAGCTGGGTTTTAAAATTATTCTTCTTCTTGTAAAGGAGACACAATAATTCTACAAACCTGTATTTGGGACAGTAACACATGAGCCCATGCTGGATGCAACTGGAAGTGGCTCTCAATAGGCATTTGATCTGTTTCTAATGAAGTTATAAATTACATACAAAACAAGTTAATGGAAAATTGGAGGCCAGTATAAATGTTTCCACAGTCCCTTGCAATTATTTCTTTTAAACAAATAAAAGATTTCTCAGGATCTGAGAACCTGAAGTAAAGCTGTTCACGTGGAGACCTGGACTTAACTTCCTCACCATAACAAACACAGAAAGAAAAGAATGACTGTTATTCGGAGGTGATTTTTCTCCCTTTGGAAAAGAGCAGTAGATATTAACTGGGACAAGCTGTCCTGCTCTGTGTTGGTTGGTACTGGCTGTCACTGCCGCTGGCGGGGAGCGGTGGGGGAGCTGCAGACAGCCTGGCCTTAATCTGCTTGTGAGTGGAAATCCCATCTGTGCTCCAGGGCAACGGGTGGCTCCTTCCAATCCTGGCACCCTGAGGGCATATCATGCACGGGGACGAGCAGTTTGGCTTTCAGAGGTACAAAGAACAGCTCTCCAAGACAAAGGCTTGATGAAGGTCGCTGTGTCTGAGGTAGCACCCTCACTACCTTTTTGTTGGAACATGCTGTAACTTACAGCGGTGCTCTGGGTGGTGAAGTCTGCTTCAGGCTTGCTCTAGTGATGCTTTGACAGCCAGGAAAACTCTGATTCTCTTTCTCTACACCCTTTGGGAATAAAGCATGCACTTGCCTTCCTGTCTGTCTGTCTGCTGGCTCACACAGAGCTGCAGTCAGGATGGCAGAAGAATCAATAACTTGTTGCTGTCACAGGTAAATTGAGGCAGGTAGAGGAAACTCAATAAAACACCTTCTGGAAAGGTGGTTTGTAGGTTTGCAGCTCCTCATCAGCTGAGGAGTCTTGGCTAGATGGTAGAAATGAGTGTGTCAGCCTTTACCTTTAGGTTTCCCTGAAGGCCACCCTGTGCAGCTGCCATGCTCTCCATGGTCACTGACATCCAGGAGGGCCTGGACAGGCAGGTCCTGAGGGCTAAAGCATGATTGCCCACCTGCTAGGGAGCATAATTTCTGGGGAGAAAACCCAAGGAATGGGCTGTTCCCATAAAAATTACTCAAGGACCAATTGAGGAGGAAAGCAGTTCCTGTAGGTAGCTGTTGCTTTCTTTCCAGCTCCCCAAAAGCCGACTCAGATTTGGTGTTCTCTCCATGACTTTCCTGTTTATGGAGGTGGGAAAATCTGCTTGGATCCTTCTCGTTATCTGCTTGAATCATTTTTTGTGTTTGCTGAATGCACAAACCTGTTCAATGTGTATTTTTTCTTTTAACTAAAAGCAACTTTTGACATTCTGGGATGAGAGATTGCTGCCATAATTTCCAGCATTTCACATCAACTGGTTTAGGCATTAATTGAAGTGGTTTGCTGGAATTTTTCTGCTCTTCGCCTGCATCAAATCCCGCTCCAGTCTTGCTTGGAGAGAACCAGATCAGACTAGGCACCAGTTGCAGAGCTGCTTGAGCACTTACACGTGGCTCTGGACGTGACACATACCAGTGTGCTGTCCTGGTCCCCTCTCCCCTTGGTGCTGCACTTGGCCACATGTGCCCAGGCTCCTGCTGTGAGCTACTTGCTTCAGGACACAGCACGAATGCACAGCAGCCTGGAGAACGTGGGAGTGTGAAGACACTTTTTATTTCTGTTCAAGTACTCTTTAAAAAATCAGCCATGTAAACAAACTCAAAGCACTTGTCGATTAGGTTTATGACATGTTAATTTTTCAGTAGCCAAATGGCCACTGGAAGAGCCACTAGGCACCAGAAGGAACTCAGCTGTGAGAAGCCCTTGTGAGGATGGGTCTTGCTTCACGTGCCCAGCACTGAGGACAGTCTGGGAGTCACCAGTGCAGCTCAGCAGGCCCTGGGTCCTCCTGTGGCAGGTCTGCCATGCTGTCTTCACCTCAGAAGGTGGAGAGTCTTGCCTTCCTCCAGGAAGGCATGGCAGTGAAATGAGGGAATCAAGTGTCTTTTCTTTTTTTCCTCCATGTTTTCCCTGGTGGCAGGCTTTGGGTTTCCAGATTTGCTCAGCTCTTGAGCATTCCCCATTTTCTTCTGTCCACCTGCTAAGCAAAATGTTGCCTGCTACTTATAGTTGGCTCATTAGCCTCAATCTAGTCCTTTTTCCTACATGGTGGTGGGAATTTCTCTAGCTGGGAGGTGAGTTCTAGGTCAGGTTTATATAATAACTGGGAGAAGGTGTCAGAGCTCTTAATCTTTCCTCCTTTTCTCTTGGTGACTTCATATTGCTGTTTATTAAGTCTCTGTGGAGAAATATGAGCCTGACATACAGAACTAACAGTATGAAATTCTGTATTTCTACACATGGTGTAAACCTGTGCTTGATGACAGTCCTAGAGAGATTGTATATATGTGAAAACTCAAAAAACCCACAACCCACTGAAAGATTTAAGGTATCCATAAACCCAAGTTACTGGTCATTAACCATGTTGTTTGGTTTTTGTTTAGGTTTTTTTGTTTGTTCGTTTTTAAATTAATACACCAGATTATTTAAAGTAATCACCTGTTTTCTTATTTCAAAAGTGTTTGGGGTTGGTTTTTTGTTGTTGTTGTTGTTTGTTTTTAATAATAATCTTTAACTAAAAATGAATTGATTAAACAAAAAACAAATTCTGAGTGCCTGGCAGTCACCTTCCTCTCCTTCAGAGATCTCAGGGAATAACTACTGGGTAAATACATATTTTCATTACTAAAACCTATGGTGTGTTTGCATGGATGTAAGGAAGCAAGGAAGCCAGCTCGGCAGCGGCGGAGCCCCGAGTCCTCCCACGACCGTGCCGGGCAGGTGTCCCAGCCCCGGGCACAGCCCTCGGCAGGGCCGGTGTCCTTGTCACCTCCGGGCTCAGCTCGGAGCCCGATTTCCCTCGGTGCAGCTCAAGACGAGGGTCGGTCACCCTGCACCAGGTCAACACGCAGAGAGCGGAGCACGAACTGCCCGGGATGAGCGGGAACAAACGCAAACAAAGGAGAGCCAAGCGGTGGGCGCGCGGCAGGTCCCACCCGCAGCCCCGCACGCACCGCAGCTGCGCTGTCACCCGGCGCCGCCAGCTCTGTGCACATCTCACGCTTGAAGAAGCCTGAAAAATGACGACTAGGAGGAAGATTTGTTCTCTCCTCACTCATCTGCCTTTTAATGACACCCAGGCAGAACCGGAGCAGCCACCGCCGCGCGGGTGCGGAGGCAGAGGGACCCGCAGCGG